CGGTGTGTTTTGGGTTACGTGCCCAGAGGAGGCCCAGCCCAGGCACCCTGTCATCTTTCTCTGACCACCGTGGGGTGAGTGAGCGTCGGGGATGTTCTCAACTGGGAGTCATCCCCTGGCAGGGGCTTTGCTCACTACCCTCGTTGGCGGGAGCCCTGTGTCCCTGAGAGACTCACCCTGCTGTGTGGGTCCCCTTGAGCAGGGTTTTGCGCTTTAATCAGAAGGAAAGATGGGCAGAGAGTGCCCACGTCCTTTTCTTCTCTTTGTACTTGAGGATCTGTGCTGGTGACCGGGCTCGGGGTCGCTGCCCTGGCGTGGTTTGTGCATTTGCCGCGCACCCTTCCTCTGTGCTTGGCGGGGGGCAGGAGTCCAGGTGGGCTGTGCTGCGTTTGCACTTCTGTCTTTTCCTTTTGGAGAGCTTATTGTAGCCTTTGTGTTCTTTGCTTCTTCTAATAAAAAGTGAGGAAGGTAAATCCCTAAAATGCAAATCTAATGATAACTCCAGTGGCTCCCTGCCTGGCTTTCATAAAGCCCAGAAAAGTTACCCTGCATTGGCGCGAGGCAGGGAGGAGCTGCTAGTTCCCAGCTCCGGGAGGTGCGCTGGGGTCTGTGTGCTCTCTGGTTTACATAGAGGGGCATGACAGTGCCCTTGGGTTAGAAAGGCCCGGAAGAGGCTGTGGGCTCCGTCCCCAGTCCTCACCCAGTTCAGGCCCCCTGATGGCTAGCCTTCCAGACCGATCTCCACGTCCAGTAAGAGGATGGGTGTCAGTATCAAGTAGTATTCTTCAAGAGGAAGTCATGAGGACTGGATTCCTTGAGTCCTTTCATGGTTGAAATGCCTTCCTTCCGGTTGCCTTTTTTACAGGATTGACATCTGATTAGAAATGATTGGCTAGGGTTAAACTTGTCCCTGAGCACCTTGTAGATCTCTCTCTCTCTCTCTCTCTCTCTCTCTCCTCTCTCTCCTCTCCCCTCTCTCTCCTCTCTCTCTCTCCTCTCTCTCTCTCTCCCTCTCTCTCTC